GGACAAAAATGTAAAAAAAAAATGAAACATGGGGACGTTTTCCACAAGAAATGTCAAACTTAGAGACGTTTTGTTCTGAAAATGATGTTTTCCACAATGAAACGTTGAAATAAGGACGAAAATGCGAAAAAATGAAACATATGGACGTTTTCCACAAGAAGTGTCAAACGTATAAACATTTTGTACTATTAAGCCTTTTTTGTAGTTAGCCCCTGTTTGACACTCATGTTTTTCTCATTCTCTTTCTCATTTTTTTCTTTATTCATTTCAATCACATTCTATCAATAAAATAATATTACAAATAAACTCAAAAATTCTCTTTACTTTTAAAAAACCAAACATTCTTCCATCAATTACTATTTTAAAATTTATTCTATCTCTAAAATGGGTGTCAAACACATCCTACATTTGAATTTGGTGTGTTTGTGTTTTTTATATAAATATTAGAATTATGAACCTGGCTATTTTCTATTATCTTATTATATTTACAACACAATTTATATTTTTTGCACCATATTTTAAATACACTTAAAAATTTTATTTATTCATTATAACACTTATATCTCTATTCTCAAACTTTTCGTTAGTTAACACATTTTATTTTTAATAACAACTTTGTATATAAAAACAAAATGTTTTCATATAAATCATCTTCAAGAATGAGTTGTATTAAGACCTCGTTTGGTGTACATTTTGGGAGTAAGAATGCATATTTTATTGTTGATGTGATGAGAAATCTGTGTTAAAAAAAGGAAGGGTTAATGATGTGATGGAAAATATTATTTTATTAAAAAATGTGTGGTTGAAAATGAGTAGAAGAATGAGAATGAAAAAAATAATGTGGCTCAAATAAGGGCTAATTAATGGAAGGTTGAATATAAGAATTCGATCAAAAAAAATTAAAAAAATAATTACTACAATAAACAAAAATGGAGGGGTTTAAGTACATTTAAATTGTGGTGAAATATAATCACCCCTCCTTTTATCTTCAAACCCACGATTGTCTGAAAATTCCTTATATACCCTTCCTTTGATAAGTTTGTCGTGGGTATTATTGTACATTCACATCTTCTGCCTGGACTATATCGAATAGATAGACTGATAGAGACATTCAATGGATAATTAATGATGACTACATTGAATAATAAATCAACAATCATCAATCGATAGAAGAATATGTAAATGATGATGTACAATAAACATTTTCTAATTAGTTATCATCACAAATAATTGCAGAAGAGGAAAATATTTATGAGTATATAATCTCCTATGAACTTCAAATTTCGATCAATAATTCGGAGACATTTGTTTATGGACCCCAATGGTTAAAAACTGAAATAAAACATTTAGCCACATATTTTTTATTGCACGCATATTAAGTCGAATAGTAGGTTTGAATTGAACTTAAAATTGGTTAAAACATGTCATCACAAAATTGAGTTTTCTTTTGGCTAGTTATGTTGCAATGTGTACGTCGAGGCATACTTAAGCTGTTTGTACATTCATTTCGACACATTTGTTGACAGAAATTGACGTTAATGTTTTACAACCGTTGAACGAAATTCGTGAGATGTGAAAAATGGTATGAGACCGTGTCAGTATAAATTCGGTAAGCCATAGTACAAATCGTGATTTACATATAATAAGATTGTACTTTGTATTCTACACAGGGGTGTACGGAAACGGCATTTAGTTTTAGGGAGATGCTAAGTGTACACAATGATATACACACGGCTTTACACAATAAAATATTCGTGGGCCCCCCTCCATGTGAGGGTGGTGTAAAGCCGTGTGTACACCATGAGATGTACACATAACATTTTTCTTAGTTTTATATTAGCCTAGTACAAACAAAAAATGTCATCCCCTCAACTTCGCCCCTGATTCTACATGAATCCACGAGGTTTTGTTTGTGCAATATATTTATTGGGTGTTTTGTGGGGATTAAAATTAGATTTTTAGTAAATTGTGATAAAAGTTTTTGAAACGTGTGGTTGAAAAGTTGTGGGATCCATGAAAAATGTGGTTAATATTGATTGTTTGACTTTGATTTATATTAAAATCTGACTTTAATCTGAAACAAACAGGGCTTTAATGTACTATATTCGAAGGAAAAGTACGTCGTTGTAGTTGAGCTAATTTAAAATACAATAATATAATATTATTCTTGATGTATATTTTATGACTATGGAGGCATGATTGTCTGGGTTAACATGGCTGAACTATCGTCATGCTTTTAACTTTGGCAATTCATTTCATTTGGAACTTAGCACTACATTTTTAAATTTATTGTACAATATAATAATTTGGTTCTTTATTTTTT